CTGAATCATGGAGTAGAATGGCTGGCGGTACGGGTTGATGTTCGGAAACCTCAGGCGGTTGAAGGCTTTAGGGTGTGTGTGGCTTCACGACTGAAGGGTCAGGAGCTATAAATTTAAGTGTTTTGGTGCTGCGGGTTCTCGGGCTTTAGGTTGCTAAGGTAGCGTGCAGGGCAATGGTTGAGGGGGTTTGGCTCGCGGCGGCACAAGTTGCGAAGGCAGTTTCCAGAGTCTAGAGGCATGTGACCAGAATGCCCACCCTGCCATGGTCCATTTCACAGAGTCAGTGTAGGGCTTAGGGATTTGTAAGTCTTAGGATTTGGGCTTCAGGCTTTGAGGTTTAGGGCTTACGGTTTAGGGCTTAAGATACGGCATGCCCTTACCCGTACATCATGAGCAGTTCGACATGGGATATGCTCTGAATGAGGATCCGTTTTCAAGATCTTGATGAACATGTACCAGTGATTTGCTTTTTGAAGTGTTAGAGTATTGACACTAAGCATGACTAAACAGCATGCAAAGCTAAACTCCGAACTGTTGCAACAGATCCCCATGGAAGAGTCAATCAAGTTATCCAGGGGCCCGGAAGCCCTGAAAAACAGATCATAAGCGCGTGGCAGTGTAGTTAGTATGTGACGCAGGACATATAGGAACCGCAATCATAAGCATGGTCTGCAAGTCATATGAAAATGTGAGCTTGGAACACACGATGACTGCATCGTCTAACAGCAGCTTGGGATTTGGTCACGGGGCCTCTATCTATAGTATCTAGTAAAAGTAATATCCAGTGTACTTCGCGCTTGGTAAACCAGCTTGACGAAACCTGCAATTTACAAGCAAAAAGGAACTTAACTTAACAAAGGAAGCCGGGTGTAGGTTTCAAGATTGATGATTTAAGCTTTAGGATGTTACTGTAGGGTTGAAGCAGGCTTCAAGGTCAAGGGTTTTGTTAGGGTTTTAATATTTCAAGTTCAGGATCCTAGTATGAGCATCTGGGCTCCTCGCCACATGATGGTGATGCGGAGAACCAGCATAGCCTCCGGATGCCCAAAGTACACCCGGTTTGAGGTTAGGGCTTAAGGTCACCTCAGAAAGTCACTGCTTGGGGTGTATAAGGACTTAGGCACAGATTGCATACCAAGCGTCTCAAATGAATATGTCCAAATCCTTCCTACAGCCCTTCAGACCTTCGTAATCATGCTACCACTGTCGATGCTGTGTCTGACCTCCGCAGCGGGTGTCCCCTACTAAGTGTAGCAACGGCAAACCATTCTTCAAACTACCCTGCTTACATAAGTCAGAAGCCTCCTGGAAGATTTGATGTAGAAAGCATTCGAATTCTTGATATACTATTCCGGCAAGCCGTCGGTCAAACCTGCTCAACTGGAAACCGGCATCGGTCCGGGATGTCCAGAAGCCGAGGAGATCATGGCTGTGAATCGTAAACCCTAAAGCCCATTCCCTAAACCCCAAACCCGAAGCCGTGAACCTAAACGCTAAAACCGAAACTCCAAGCCCTAAGCAACGTCAACCTCCGAAGCCTTATAAACCTCTAGACTCTAAACCTCGAGCCACTAAACCCCCAAAACCACAGCATTCAAAACCCAGGGCTCAGCAAACCCTATTAAGGACGCCGGGAGTGCCATGTAGATCTTGCAGAAGTTCAGCGTGCTGAGTCGCAGCATCAACTGGCGCTCTTCCCGATTTCTAAAAAGAGTGAAAATTCAGAAAGTTGGAAGATGGATCAATGATGATCAGTGCTGGGATTCCTTGCAAAGATGATCAGTGCCGGGACTCCTTGTAAATATGTTCTTGAATGGCATGGGAATTGTCGCAGCTCTCTGGTTCCTCCGCTCTCGCTAAACTGTTGGTGCAGCAGCTGAGGGTTCGTGATTTTTGGTGTAGCGCTTACTACCCAGAGGCCCCAAAAGTAGTTCCTTTTTGGGATTACGCTATAGGATTCTATATATGAACCCCAAAAAGGAACTACTTTGGGGCCTTAGGGTAATTAAAGGCCTCCAGCTCAGGCGCCAAAGCGTAGGCTTGTGGCCATGCGGCTGGGGTTCTAAGTATGGGAGTTAGGATTAAGGGGACCCTTGGGGATAAAGACCCTCTCAATAAGGTCCGTTTTAAGAGAGCCAGAAGTAGGGCTCAGAAGGGGTACCCGCTATCAATTTGTCAATGGTCCGGGAATTGCAAATCCTACACATCAGGGGATTTTCCGACACCTGATATAAGGGCCGAAAAATTGAGAATAGGGTTTGGGGCCCATTATACAATAATTATAATCAGGACCGCCCCACCCAAATAGTATAGTATAATAAGTAATTATTTGGGCCACTACAGTAGGCGACGTGGAGACATTGCACTGTCGGATTCTTGCTCCTTGCGGAGTACTATATATCCCCAAAAAGACCTCGAAACCCAAGAACAAAAGTAAGAAGCTCGCAAACCCAAATTCGGAAACAAAGCAGACCGCTGGGCCTTCATAACCAGACTAATTACTCCAGAGGACAACATTGCGACATCCTGAACCACGAACCATGAACCCTCAACCCCAAGATTGCGATGTCGGAGTTAGGCTCTGGCAATCGGTGACGATGGGTTGTTAATCGTCAGGCATAAGCTTACGTAATCTTAAACGGTTGACTCAGGTTCCAGCGCGCAGGCCTCAGCAATTAGAATGGGGTTCGTTTGAAGAAGTGTGTATTACTTAAAGGTTGTGAGACTGCTACTGTAATTAGTTATTCACTCACACACCCCTACATTAAGGATTATGGGTCAGACCCCTTGGGCTAAGCAATGCGCAGCACAAGGAAATAGAGCCGGCAATACCGCTGCATCCGTCCGCACAAATGTCTGCCGACAGGAGGTTTAGGGTTTTGTGTTTCGGGTTTAGGAACACACCGGAACTTTAGAAGGATCAAAGCAAAAGCACCTGCAATGGGCATCCCACTCTACTCTTGTTACCTGGATCTAGGCCCTGCACGGAAACCCCCCTTTTTGAGCTGCCGGACCCATAAAGAAAACCTGTAACACGATTTGCCATTCCCCCACGATAAAAAGGATCAGCGGGGACATCAGGGCCTGAATTCTGTTGCCCAAGGATCGGCGTTTACATATACCAAATGCCTTCGGTTACAAAAGGCTGCTTGTGATTTCCGGTATTTTACTTGGTGACAGGAGTGTTGGACGCTCGAGGTGCCCGGGTGTAATTTGCTAGGCAGCACGTGTACTCTGCCTCAATGTAGCCTTCTAGGATTGAGTAAGATGGATTGTCAAGTTCTTATGTAAAAGAAGTTGTTACAGGCTACAGGGCCAACATGCTACAGCCACGACTCTTGCGGGTTTGCCTCAGCTCACGCTTCTATAGAACCCTCGCAGAACCCATATCGCAACCAATCAAGTCACTTCAAGTCACCCCCATCGCACCCCTCCACAAAGGGTCCACATGTACCACTAGTGCGGAAGTAGATTCCTAACACCATAGTAAGGATGGTCTTTTGGGACCTCATGACATAGTATTCCATGACGGGTAGTATGATGCAGTAAATTTGGATCCCGCAAAGTTGCAATTGCTTGCCGATGCCTTCCAGTGGGAAGCAAATGCCGCAGCGGCGCCGGCCGACATGCAACGGAAAGACCTGCAGGCTCGCATCGGCATCCGGTTGAGGCCCAGCTTTCGAGTTTCGGTTTAATCTCTAACTGTCTAACCCGAATTGGAGCTTCGTATGCTCACACACAATACTATGTAACTTGCATAACTATTTAAGGTCTTCGGGTCTATCCGAAGCTTTAAGGAATTGAACGGAGGCCTACTTGAATATGACTGGCTCGAAAAAGGGGACCTAAAGAAACCCTTGCTTGCAATCGATCCGATCTCCAGGAGCTTTGAACTCTGGACTAGAATAGGGATGTCTTCGAATAGTCCATGAACCAAGAGCGCCAGCTAGCGACTCTCCAACTTGCGCAGCCTTTCTTGTGCTAGGGTTCAGGGAGCAAGTTTTACAGGGACCAAGTTTTCGGGGACAGAGCACAAGCATCACCACTGCTGGTACACGTTCAAGAGCTTCAAGGCAAATTAGCGTGTTCCGAATCCTGCACGCTGAAATGAAGCCCTGACCTCAGTCAAAACATAGCACACTTGCATTACCGTGAGATGACACAGGCACCTTTTCGAGAAAATGAGGATAACAAGAGCTACGACGACTGTAGATGAATACAAGCTCCAGGGACTCCAGTGTATGCCAAAATCACGAGTCTGCACCAGTGCACCTTTCGCCCAGGCTCGCTCAAAGGTTTTGCACCAAGATTCGCCAAAACGAAGCACTGTGTCCAGGGTTCGGCACTGCAGGCTTACTGTGACGGGATGCAGGATACCCTCGCAGCCAGAGTTGTTTCTGCTTGGCCGACCGTTTATTCAACCTTACAAGCCTTACAATTACAACCCGATTCAGCGATTCAGCGTTGATAAAAGTACATGGTCTACATAAATGTACAGACACATGTCTGGGTGCGCGGGTGGGTGTGCTACACTGAGGTGTCATACATGAAGATGAAGAGCAGTATCCATGCCCAGGGCACTGTCGCTGACAGCCAACGGTTTGTAAACAAGATCGAAGCTGGTGATGCTTGGAGCTTTACTACACTCCTTATGTGCGGAAATGTCCCCTGAAAGGGTTTGGAGGTTCAGTTGCCATATAGTTACATATAACAGAATGATTCATTGATTCATGGCATCAGCCGTACCATCGTGCAGGGCGCCGACTCTTAGCGGTGACACAGTCCTTAAGCCCTTAAGCTCTGCGCAGCTCCGAAAACCCGGACTGACCTGCTCTGGCCGGTTCTGTGTCTCCTGGTTTCAGGGCACCATGCAGCTTATCTCTAAGTCCAAGGGTAAAAGGGGGGACCCTTAATAAGGACCCCTAGGTATATACCCTTAATATAGCTACTACATACCCATTATATAGCCCATTATAGGCTAAGGGTCCTCATTAAGGGTCCCTCCTTTTCCCCTGTGACTAAGTGTCCGGAGACTTTGGGGACTTTTGCGGTGCCGCAAATCGTACATAAGGACTGCTTGGACCCTTCGGGTATGGTGGTACGTATGATCTTGGATGTTTCGCATTAAGGTTTTGGCGTAGGGTTTAGGACTGCAGATGTAGGGCGGTGAATGGGAGTTTATGTGGTTCGAACTAAGACTATGGCCTTTTTCGAGATACACTCCCCGAGACACCAATATCCCTTAATTAAGGAATATACCCTGAATTATAGTAGGATCCCAAGAGCGGCTTTTTTCCAGCCTTTCGGAGTGACGGATTTGCTTAGGATTTCTGGTTTGGGGTGTCAGGCCCCGAGCACCACCAAGCCCTGAAGGCTCAATAATTCGCATAGAGTTTCGGGCTCTATAATACCATAAATTGTATTGGGGATGTTTTGGGCCCCGATAGTAAGATTTTGAAATTAACAGGGTGTTGGGTTGATGATTTCTTCATCCTGCTACTCTGACTTGAATGAGCCTGACAGAGACATGGGGCAGCCCAGCTTTGCTGGAGCCTGCTAAGCTGCAAATCACACTCCGGGGTTTGGGCTTAGGTAGGGATTCTATCTACTTGGAGGTTCATGGCTAGTTATAAGTAGGGTGATAAGTCGGGTAACTAAACTTATAACCCATATTGGGGGTCTTCTAACCCCACTTATAACTACCCATGAACCTCCAAGTAGGAGTTTATGACTTTATGTGGTGATGGCTACCTTTTCGTAAGGAAAGAGTGGCTCTGTAGTTTTCATTATCGAGCCTCTACTTGGAGGGTCGGGGGTCTTAGTAACTGGTTATTCTAGGGACTTATAAGTACCATAACCCCAATTAGGGGCCCTTTTTGGCTACGTATAAGTCTACTTACTAACTACTTACTAAGTCTCCCGACCCCCCAAGTACTCTTCCAGCAGCTCGAACCTCTACCCTGGAAGGCCGCCCCCTCAGGCTCTAGAGCTTTCAAGGCTTTACCCTAAGGGTCCAAAGGACCCAATAATTGGGTACTCGGTTTTAGGATAGGAGTTATGTAGGTTAGGATTTCGGACAGTATATATGATTATTAGGTACTTGGACCCTTGGGGTTAGGGTTACCCATAGTCTCCGTTGGAGTTCCTTGCTGGGTTGCCGTAGAGGATCCTCAAACAAAAAACTTATTATAGGCAGGGCTTAGGGACTTCAGGGCTTAGGGACTTCAGGGCTTGGGGTTGCTGAAGCAGCCCTAAACTCAGGGAGCCAACTTTCAACACTCCGCAGTTCATGGTCGGTCCTTTAGCCTGCATCCTTCACCCCTGAGGGTGCCTTCAGAGTTACATAGAGGAGCCCCTGCAACAGGCCTGTACAGTTTCTGCAGGGGTTCCATACGAGTTGCCTGAGGGGTTCCGTATGGGCTCTCTACCATAAGAGGTCCATCAGAGTGCATTCTACAAGCCCGTGCAAACAGTTTATGAAACCCAGGAGGGGCAGCAAAGTCTCTGGTCCTGGATGGCAGTGCGGCAAGTGCAGCCGAAGCAGCTACGACCTGAGGTTGGAACTTAGCCGCACACGTACTCAAAGGTTTCGGGCATGCATATGTCGTAGCGCTGTTGTTGGGTTGAGCAGCTTTCCTAAACCCTAAACCCTCAACATTCAACCATTTTAACCGCTAAGAATTAGTTTGGGGTTTAGGTTCTTTTAGTCTCGAAGCCATGGTGCAACAAAACCCTTGCTGCGCACGATGCGAGCACAACAGCATGCCGGCAAGAAGGATGTAGATAAAGATGACTGCTATTCGGCTTTTGGCGCTGCACGACCATGGTTAACCACACCGTCGAAGTTCAGCGAAGCCCAAATTCACGGCGATGCTGAGTAGTTCAAAGTCGGCGTGTTGGTATGGTCCCGGTGTGCATTTGTTAGCGCTTACCATACTCAAAGCCCCAACCAGTAAGGCACCGAGAGCCCTCAATCCCAAACCCCAAATTCAAAGATACCCTGAGGATGCAAGGCAAAACAAACGAACCCCTATACCTATACATCAATCCTGCAACAACCCTAAACCCCTAAACCCCTAAACCCAATCAGACCCTAAAACAACTCAAAGTAGCCCAAAAACCTCAGACCCAAGGCCCTAAACCCCTGAACCCTAAACCTAGCAAAAACCCGAAGATCCCATCCCCTTAAGGCTCCATGTACCCTTATAGTAGATACTTAGGCCTTAAAGTACCTAAATAGGGACTACTTTGGGGCTTAAGTATCTACTATAAAGGTACATGGAGCCTTTGGGATCAAGCAGCGCACGCAGAGCGTGTAAACCGAGGACCGCACAGTGAACTGCGTGGCGGAGGTCAGAAACCTGCAAAGAGGGTCTTCAGTCCGTTAGAATAGGATTCCTTTAAGGCTTTAAGGGTCATTGCGCTCTGTGGGGCTTTGTAGGGGTTTTGGATGAGACTGCGTTTTCGAGTGTATATCAACATTCTTATTGTTATAACTGCATATTCCTGTTATCGTTATATAAGTATGACGATGATGAAATTCATTTTGTGTTGCTATTTTATATACTAGTATTCCTATTACGGTCCGTATGAGATTACTAACTTATGCCGACCCCTATATCATGGCTTGTAGGGTCGGGGGACTTAGTAACTGGTTATTCTAGGGACTTATAAGTACCATAACCCCAATTAGGGTCCCTTTTAGGGTACTTATAAGTCTACTTACTAACTACTTGCTAAGTCCCCCGCCCCTCAAGGGGGATTTCGCTTTAGGGGTTCAGGGTCTGGTCTGAGGCTTCAGCGCTGAGGGTTTCCCCTAAGGCCGCAAAGTAGTTCCTTTTGGGGGTTCATATATAGAACCCAAATGCTCCATGTACCTTTATAGTAGATACTTAGGCCTCCAAGTAGTCCCTATATAGGTACTTTAAGGCCTAAGTATCTACTATAACGGTACATGGAGCCTTAGGGTTTTTGGGGTTCATATATAGAATCCTATAAGGTAATCCCAAAAAGGAACTATTTTGGGGCCTCTGGGTTTATGGCTTCCAGGTCACAAGGTTTGGGTTCAGGATTTAGGGCTCCGGGTTTGGAGTTGTAGGGGTTAGGGTATGAGGTTTTTTTAGGGCCTTTTAAAAGGGTATGAGGTTTAGGGTTTAGGGTTCAGGGTACTCAGGAATGTCGCAGGGTTTCACGAGAATAGTGAGCCCATCCTGGGCTTGTGATTTGGGGGTTCCATGGCTCAGTGTCTACCAGTTCTTAGTTGCTGAGTTCATAAGCCCCAGAAAGTGTACACTTTCAGTTTTATAGTGGGCAATATTACCCAAAAAAAGGGTAAAGTGTGATCAACTCAGCTACTTCTTTCAGCATGATAAAAGCCTTTACCCCCAAAAGCCTCCAAACACCTCAACCGTTAGACCCTGTCGGGCCCCATTCCCGGAGGCCTGAACCCGTAAACCCCACACCGGAAACCCGAACCCCCGACCCTATATGGGAGTTTCCGAAAATGGGGGACCCCCATTTAGTACCCTAAATAGTAGGATCCTTATTATAAGGACACCAAAATAAGGTACCCTAATTTCCTGAAGCTCCCATATAACGCTGGCAACTACATCACCTTGAACATACATCCTGCAAAATCCTTAGCAGCCCCTGTAAATCCCAAACCCCTTGTAGTGCCTAAGAGGAAATAAGCCTGAAATAAGCCATGACATAGAAACAACCATAAAACTCAGCAGAATTGAATTCGAATCTAAATTCTACTATGGGCTAAGGGTTCCTTTAAAGAGATCTGTAGGTGTCTATAAGGATTCCTTTAAAGGGATCTATAGGCTTCTATATAAAGGTTCCTTTAAAGGGATCCATACTTCTACTATCTTCAACCCAATTGGCGCCCTGGAGTCATGGACCCTTAAAATACGGTTTAAGCCCCCCTACGATCCTAACGAAATCAAAAACCAACTAAACCCGAAACCCTGAACGCCGATCCCGAAACCCTGAACCATGAACCTGAACCCCAAAGCCTAAACCCTAAACCCTAACCCTTGCAGGATCCCCTGTGTCGTAGGGACCCTGAGGGGGTAGGGGGGAGGGGGTAGGGGACGATACTTCCATAAACAGCCTTGTTAAGTCCTTTTGAAAGGAATGAAGGCCTCCTACCCCCCTTCCCCCTACCCCCCAAGGGTCATAGACTGACTACCCAAACAGGCCTTCTTCAGTCCCCCCGAAAAGGGCCCCCAAAAAGCACATGAGCAGGGATATCCCGTATAAACCCCCTTAGAAGGAAGCCCAACAAGGCAGGGATATCCCGGTACAATGCTTATGCTTATGAGCGTTTTGGGTCCCTAACTAATGACTGTGTGCTGCCGGCCTCTCTACCCGGCTGGGCTCATTGGGCACCGCCTTCTCGGAAATGTCCACGCGGAGCAACTGGCAGCCCAAACCAGGGTCTTAATACGATGGATGGTATACGATTTGTCGTATTATACGTCGCTTTTGACGGGGGGGGGCAGGATCTTGATCATACCATTCCGTTTAGAAGGTCTTATGGTTAGATTGGGGTGGGGGCTGAATAATTAGACCAGGGGTTAGGTGGTCTGATTCTATATAGTCTATATTTGCATGAACGAACCCAGAGGACGAATATTCAACGACAAACAATCTGTACTAAAGGATCCAAAACACAGACCCTCGACAATGGCCTCAGGTGACTCTAAATAGCCCTGAATCCTAGAACCCAAGACCGTATAGCTATTAGATATTAATACCAAGCCTGAATCCTACGCCCTACACTTGAACACCCTAAACCCTAAACCGTTGCAATCGCATGATGCCTTTCGCTGGAATGCGATCGGTTTATTGAAGCCTCTAGCAGCTCTGGCAGGCTGCAAGAGTCGAAGATTGCAGGTTTAGGCTAAACATGTTGCACTCTACTTGGAGGTTCATGGGTAGTTATAACTGGGGTTATAAGTTCCCCTATGTGGGTCATAAGTATAGTTTCCCTACTTATAAGGCTACTTATGACTTGTAACTACCCATGAACCTCCAAGTAGCTTGAGGTCTTGGGTTCAGCTAAGCCAAGGGCTCAGGCTTAGGGTTGATCTCAGCATGCTTGGGGGCCCAAGCAGCGGGCGAGGTCTTAGGGTTTAGGGGTTTAGGGGTTTAGGGGTTTAGGGTTTAGGGTTTAGGGTTTAGGGTTTAGGGGTTTAGGGGTTTAGGGTTTAGGGGTTTAGGGTTTAGGGTTTAGGGTTTTAGGGACCCTAACCTTTTTTGGGTGGTATAGTCCCGATATTTTATCCCTGTATAAGGGCTCGGGGTCTCGCCAAGAACCGCTGACGACGTCGTTTGGGGGCTTTGGGCTCACCCTGGGGGTGCAAGTATCTAGCAATCATGAAGTCTCGCAAACACCATCGCTACTATCCCAAAACCACGTGATCACCAAATTCTTTTGGGATTGCTGGGACCCATACGGGCATATCAGGGAGCTGCATAACCCTATAAACCCTAAACCCCCAAACTCTTAAACCCTATAGAATTCTCAACGCCACCTCCACCTCCTTGCGCAGCGGAGAGCCAATGCGAGGCTGCGTGGGGTTCGACAAACGCCCCGGGACCAGGAAGCCTGCCAATTGCAGGGATAGGGTTTAGAGTTTAGGAGTTTAGGGGTTTAGGGTTTGGGGCGGGTCCCCACACACAAACAAGTGCGATCGGTTTACCGGCGTCTGAACTCGAAGCTAAGCTGAAAAGCCCTGCACCCATGCTCCCAGAGAGCTGTAAGCAGATATGCTGGAGCAGATTTGGGTTGGATAAATATTAAAAGATACCTCTACATAGAGGGGCCCAAGAACAATCAGTCGGCCCTCGGAGAGATGAACTCACAGCTGAAACCCAGCAGTTTTAGGATGCAGAGCCTTGCTCTTTCAAACTTTCGGCGCTCAACCCAAAAGCTGATCCGGGATCCAGAACCTAAGCCCCCAAAACAGCAACAATCCTGAGCCTTCCACTTCAAGGGGGCACACGAAAATCCCCAGCGGCCTGCAAACATACCCTTAATGAAAGGGTCCTAGCGGAAAAATTGCACAAAACGTTTAGCAGTTGTGGATTAGGCCTTGTTTGTGGTGCGAGTATTACCGAAACATTCCTGGTCCGACCTATACAGTGCCCCTTGTAGTTCCTTTCTTGGTTTGAGCAGGTTCATGTTCAGGACACTATAAGGGAAGCAGAAAAAAGGAACCACGCTGCAGACCTGAGCACAGATCCAGAACGGTAGCATAGTATGAGTATAGTTGGACACTGCTAGGTGCAATGCAATGCCAAAACGCACAGCATAGCACACCCCAACCAGAAATCCAAAGCGCCGCAACAGTTCAGAACCAACCGAAACCCTAAACCCTGAATCCTGCCGGACTTGTTCTTGGGAACAAGATGTCCCTCCGACAGTCATGATGGCGATGCCCTCAACCCGGGTCTTTGTAAATCGACGCAGGAGATCCTCAGCAGAGCGTCCATATATGATCCTGGTTCGGCCGGCCCCCCCCCCCTCCCCCACCCTCCCCCCCCCTCCCCCCCCTTCCCCGCGACTAGTCCCTATTACAACCGGAACCCCCATACCGCAACCAGAAGCCCGATACCGCAACTGGGCCTGGACTTTGCGCAGAACCCGGAACCACCATATCACAACCAGCCAACAAACTTACATTTTGCATGGTTTCCAATCTGCTGGTGTACCATGGTGAACCTTTAAGGAAACACATTCATTTTTAGAAACAAGTCAGTTGCAGTAGGTACCGTTCCTCGCCTAGATGCTACGATCTACTAAATTATCATCACGAACAACTAAAAACTAATACCAACTGCTAACTTTTAGAGGTTTGATGTCAGTCAGTAGCGAACACGCAAAAAACATTTTGACATACCCCCAGAAGCTTTAAGCCTCTTAAAGTTAGCAGCTTACTACCGCGACTGCTTCAAACCTGCAACCCGGAAGTTTAACAGCTTCAATCTTCAAAAACTCAACAGTGTACTGCTCCAGAAGTTTTAAACCAGTAAAACCGAAAGCTTACTAGATCTTCACTCTCATCGACATGGACAACAGGAATGGCGAAGGATGATCCGTCCTATCATGCTGTAGCCCATTCAAATGAAAGACTGTCATCGACATGGACAACAGGAAGGGCGAAGGATGATCCGTCCTATCATACTTTAGCCCTTTCAAATGAAAGACTGTCATCGACATGGACAACAGGAAGGGCGAAGGATGATCCGTGCTATCATGCGTTAGCTCTTTCAAATGAAAGACGGTCATCGACATGGACAACTGGAAGGGCGAAGGATGATCCGTGCTATCATGCTTTAGCTCTTTCAAAGGAAAGACTGTCATCGACATGGACAACAGGAAGGGCGAAGGATGATCCGTCCTATCATGCTCTAGCCCATTCAAATGAAAGACTGTCATCGACATGGACAACAGGAAGGGCGAAGGATGACCCGTCCTATCATGCTCTAGCCCATTCAAACGAAAGACTGTCATCGACATGGACAACAAGAAGGGCGAAGGATGACCCGTCCTATCATGCTCTAGCCCATTCAAATGAAAGACTGTCATCGACATGGACAACAGGAAGGGCGAAGGATGACCCGTCCTATCATGCTCTAGCCCATTCAAATGAAAGACTGTCATCGACATGGACAACAGGAAGGGCGAAGGATGACCCGTCCTGTCATGCTTTAGCCCATTCAAATGAAAGACTGTCATCGACATGGACAGCAGGAAGGGCGAAGGATGACCCGTCCTGTCATGCTTTAGCCCTTTCAAATGCAAAACTGTCATCGACATGGACAACAGGAAGGGCGAAGGATGATCCGTCCTATCATGCTCTAGCCCATTCAAATGAAAGACTGTCATCGACATGGACAACAGGAAGGGCGAAGGATGACCCGTCCTATCATGCTCTAGCCCATTCAAACGAAAGACTGTCATCGACATGGACAACAAGAAGGGCGAAGGATGACCCGTCCTATCATGCTCTAGCCTTTTCAAACGAAAGGAACTGGTGGCTATGACAAGGAACAGCTGCCTAAGCCCAAAAACGAAAACACTAAACCATACAAAAAAGAACTGTCCAGTTGTAATAGGGACCTTTTTTCAGTATATAGCTGCTCAGTTGTAGTAGGGTCCAGTTCGTGGTTGTAGTATAGGGCTTCTGGTTGTGGTATCGGGGTTCCGGTTGTAGTAGGGACTATTTCCCCCCTTCCCCCCCCCTTTCCTGGTTCCTCCGCCCACACACAGATTCGGCTTGGGGAGCGTGGGGGGGGGGGATACCATTGGGGGGGGGGGTCGGTGAACCGAGAACCGGGATCATATATACTACCATTATGGAATCAGATCCCCAGAACCATACTAAGGATGGTCTTCAAACCCTAAAATACTATAGGTTTCTATATACAAGGGTGCTATGAGGGTAGTTCTCCTAAGTTAGGGCCCCTTTTTAAGGTTCCTTTAAGAGGATCTTCCAGGGTTTCAAGGGTACTAGGAGGGTAGTTCTCTGATGAACCCTACACCCTAAACTCATCATAATAGTATGCATGGAGCCACTGGGTATGTAGCATGGCAACAGCTCAGGTTTTGTTTGCTGAGCTTGTGTTTAGGGAGTCAAGGTTCTAGGGCCCCTGTGTAGGGTTTAGCTCTTTGTAGGGTTCGGGTTTAGGGATGAATCAACCCCTGCTTAGGGTTTGGCTCTTTTTGGGGTTCGGGTTTAGGGATGAATGAACCCCTGGAATCATGTAAACCTTTACACTCCGCAGGAATACCCCTGGCATGCGCCTGGAGTCCAGCTTCCGACAAGCATCAGCGCCACGCTGGCGCTGGCCTTATTCATAGTCTGCGAAGAAAGCTATAGCGTTCAAGCACCAAAATCGGGGGGTGCTGCGTCAAAATTATTATAACTTCAAGTTGTGCGACACTCTCTCGCTGAGCGCTTGGACCCATAAGGAAACATGGAATGGACCACGACCTTAAGTTACCAGCTCGACAGACCGCAAATGCACACCGACTCCCTGGAATCTTGAGTCTTGGGGGTAGGACTTGGGTGTGTGACTCTCAGGGCTTTGGGTCTCACGCGTGGTTGGCCGTACAGTCTTGAATGTTTCGGAGGTGATTGAAGAACATGTCCTCTGTGGGACGGCCCTATGTTGACATGAGGGTATGCCGCAACAATGCATACAAGGGTGCACCGATGCATTTTCCCATGGGCCGAAAACACCACCCTCCTTACACAGACACGAGGTCTGAGCAGGGCCCTTATGAACGACCGTCCTCCTGAATACGAGGGGGTTACGGCTTAAATCACTAGAAGGTATAACCCCTTAAAACGGTAGGTTGTGGGATCGCCACGAAATGTAAAGGCCTCGATACCTAGAATAGGGTTTTGGGGCTCCTTACTATTTTTCTTGTATAATAGATTGGGTCCTTAAAGGCTCTAGGGCCCCAACTATAAGGTCCTGGGAAGCCTAGGGCTAATCATATACAGGCTCCGACATCTTCGGGTTCGACGTCAGTTTGGGGCGGGGTGGCGACTGAGCCGCGCGCGACCAAAACTCCTCTGAGCAGAGCCATCGCCGTGCCTGTCTGAAGCTTAATTCTGGGAGTCTTGATTCATGGTTGGAGTTTCTCGTTTAGGGCTCATGGGTGCGTTGACTTCTGAAAGGACGGAAAAGAGGTTTACGGACTGAATCTAACCGGCATGGAGTCTATGAGCCTTAGGCTACCGATGGCTCGGGGAGGTCACGAAAGCTCCTGATGTGGCCCTAGACCGAAATCCAGAAACATTAGCTTTCAAGTTGAAGTGTTTAGTGTCGCAGGCAAAGGTTCAAACTTTAGGGCTTCGGGTTGTGTCGATCTCTATGGCTTCTGAATACATGCTGGGCTTTGCTAGGACGACCGGGGACTGGCACCTTGGACCCAAAGAAAGCCTTACACCAGCCTCCTGAACGGAAAGCTCGACAGATCCGCTTCGAACTGAAGACGCCACCCGAGGTTTTGGTGACCCCCATCTTCACTTCTCCGCTGGGCCTTAACAGCAGCCAGTCGCGTGTGACCCGCAAAGGACTACGCCGTTGCAGCCGCAGGTGGCGACACGGTCGTGTTTTCGGCTACTTAAAGAATCCATTGTAATTTCTCTTTTGTGGTTTATCCTAGTTTATGTGTAGGACCCTGTACAAATAACAAAAAAATCGAACTACAATGGAAACTATGAGTAGGGGCTCAGCTCGGTTGAAAATTTTTGGAGAAATTTTACAGCCTGGAGTCTAGCGGAGTTCGGGGTACACTGAAGGCAGTGCGTAGGTCGGCCACTCGACAAGGCCTTTTGTAAGAAAATGCGATGCCTACAAGAACCCCAATGCAAAGGGATTTACCCAAGGCATTCGTCATGTTTACACGTTCATCATTTCTAAACACGAAAGCAAAAAACCCTACGGCAAACCCTGACAGATCCGTCTTCGTGAAAGAACCGCAAACGCCAAGCTACCGGATCTATACTAGGTGTCCTCATTTCAAACATCCCCAAAAAATAACTATAATTAGGGCTCGATATTAAACAACAACAAGCAAAATCAACAATTCCTCAAATCGACACCTGGTATATAATGTTTTCTTGTCTCCGTATAGCCACTTCTCCAAATAACCACTGCGCGTACACCGCTATAGATTCAGCCGGGCTTCGGAAAAGGACTCCTGCAACCCCGTCGCCCAAATGCTCTACAACACCCTAAGCGAACCAAGTTGTATTGAATTACATATTGGTGTGCCTTAGACTTTCCTGAAATAACGGTTAAAAATCTGCCCACAACCTTCGCTCAGTGGCCCGGCTTCAATATTCCGTGGATGTGTTTGTATGTCAACCTGCAAACCAGAGGATTTGCTTTTTTGTATGCTGCATGCACGGCAATCTCTTGCATAAGCGAATTTGAGTCCCGCAGATGTCCCGAAACACTATTGTCTGTCATGTTGCTCACTTGTTGAAACCAACACCTACCCTAACACACACTCTTGCCAGCTTCCATGTATATACGGGCATACATGCAATTATGATGTATGTTTATGCGTGTATGTACACATACACGGCAAGAATGCAACTAAGCACGCAAGGAAACAAGCGACCAATCAAGCAAGCAATCACTAAACCAACAAATCAAAATCCCAATCAAGCAAACGAGCACACCACCAGCACAATCCATCCAGCCGTGCATGCATACATACATACATACATACGTACACACATGTATACACCAGTGTGTTGTCGTCATGCTTCTGCCTTTTCGTCTAACGGCTGTGCTGTTGCTTTCGTTATCACTCATGTGGCTTTCTGAGCTTGCACGCGTGTCATGCCGGGTCGATCGTGACAAGCAATAATATTAGTGATAGTGCTCATCCTGCCAACTGCTAACCATGGAAATTGGCAGGTAAAACGGTCTTCAATCGCCGACATTAGTAGCACTACTTTTGGAAAGTAAGCTGAAAACGAGAAGCAGGAATCGTACCACGTACTCCCCAGAGCAATGACCATCCAACTCCTTCTTGCACTCGTCAATGTTATAAGAAAGCCAGGCCTCCCAGAAATGGCCGCACGTGTGCATGCGCGCTCCGCAACTCTCACCACTGCCGGAGCTGCGGCGCAAATCCGCTGCACCAATGCTCGGCTTGTTGACCTGGCAGCGTGCTTCCGCGGACAGCACCGTGACGTGGAATGCCAGCGCATGCGGGAACAGAAGGCGGTGTAAATCACGATGACGTTACAACAATGATGCTTGTGCCAGCGCTAGTGCTAGTGCTGTAGTTCTGGTACTGCTAGCGGGGTTCGTAGTGGTAGTGGTAATGGTAGTGGTACTGCTGGCAGTAGTGCTGGTAGTGGCCCACTTCGCCGTCTTGGATGATACATCGGCGGGCACGGTGTACCAGTGTGCCAGCCTTGGTGGTTTCCTGGGCTCGTCTGCACCAACGCGATGTCGAAGTCGAACGAGGGTGTCCCTTTCCTGTCGGCTGCTTTAGCTTTTGCTCGACCTATCAGCTCGAGTCCTTGACAGCCCAGTTAAAACAGCCAACCCCATGCGGCCGTGTCGTTAAGAGCTAGACTGCCTAGACTTAGACTCCATGTGAACAGGACACCCAAGAAGTCCTGCAGCGGCCTAGTATGATGCCCGCAACTTGAAGCCAGGATCGACAAAGTAGTTTCCCATCGGCTCCTCAATTATTTGACATTCCTGAACCCGAATGCAAAGATACTACTAGTTGTTAACATGATAAGCTATAACTCAACCTTCGACCCCAAAAGCAGCCGCTGACAGCGGCTCTGCACTCTCGGGCGCAGAGCTCGCGATCTGGTAAAGACTAAATTACGGTGCTACGGTAATTGTGCCGGTCTGGGTTTCTGTTCGGAAATTGAAGTGCTGGATTTAGAAGGCTCAGGATGTTCAGGATTTCATACACGTACTGCTTCGAGTACTTGCATTGGTGTGTAATATGGTCCAAGGTGTTCGAAGAGCATACTGGCGGCCATTCGGGTGTGGAGCTTCAAGTTTGTCAGCACTGCGTGACTTCGCATGTGGATGATTTTTCGAGGGCTCCAAAAAACACAGCATCAGAACACACTCCCACAATACAACTACTCACTCGGGGCCATCGCCATCCAAAGTGCTTTCTCCAGGGAGTCTGGGTCGCCCTTTTCACAAGCGAGAGCGGTGGCGCGACCGCTGATGTTGGCCGCGGTGCCCCGAACTGGCGGGCTATCACGACTCAAGGCGGACTTGACGAACAGTTCGCCTCAGCATCTTACGAAACACACAGCAAACAACGCAAAATGACAAACCGAACCAGAGCACTGCAATCAAGAGACCACGGTCCCCTGCCACCTCCCACTCCGTTCGGGTGGCAACGAGTCCAGTGACTGCATCAGACTTAAACGCCTTCAAATTCAAAACATTTTGTGCAGCATAGCTGTACATGGAATGACCCCCTCCTCGCAGTCAATCCGATCCACATAGCCCTGTGCTTGCTCGAGAAACTTGTTCAACACTGTTCCTGGGCTTTGGACTTCGGAGTTCAAACTGTTACTGCTACTTGTCTTGACAGACCCCGCTCGCCCAAGCGCCTCAACATAAAACCAATAAAACGGCGGGTGGGGGTGGGGGGTGGGGTGGGGGGTGCCCTTGCAGGGGCGTGGAGGGCGTAGACAAGACAGAACCAGAGGGAGCGGCGGGGAGGGGATACAAGGGGGTTGGGGGGGGGGGGGGGGAGCAGCGCTGCGCCATACATACCTCGTAGGTTCCAAATTTAGCTGTGGGTTGAAGCCGAGATTGGTGGGGACCTGGGGGCCCGTCCACCCCCCACCGGGTCCCCAGCAGGTTCGGGCCCTGTCCACCGGGGTCAGCCCGGGATCAGAATGCAGAGCTCGGAGGCACCATGAGGCCACGTACACTTGATGAAACGCAGTGCTGGCAACAAACATGCATGACTCGTCCGTCAGATATACGACGGAAATCGAACTCACAAATCCTTCCAGGAGCTAAATCATGTAATTGACCGCATTCAGGACATGTCATGAATGATGCATGTTGGCATGCGGACATGATCAAACACATGACCATTGACATCATGGTGTCCGATTGAAACGAATCCCTGGACATATATACAAGCTTCGAACAGGCCAGTGACTCATGTTTCCATGACATGACTGCCCATTCCGCAAACCTGACACAGCATTAACAAGCATGGAACCGTGACAACGCATGCGACACTTCACTGAATCTCATGTTTTCCCCATGCGCAGAGACCATCTCGATGATTCGTCAGCAGCGAAGATCATCGAATGGTCATTGCCTGAGCCCATCAGATCGGTGCACGGAATCGCGAAATTCGCAACATACATAGCATGAGATCGGCATGTGACGGTCATGGCTAGCGCTTCATATACCTCTCATTTTTCTCAGGTGCGCAGAGCGACGTGCCAATCCAAAAGTTCGGACTCTTACATCAGGGGCAACATCTGTCTCCCAGTACGTGTATAACCGAACTTCGTTGTAAATTCAAACAGGTTTATTTTGCAAATGCTACGTAAAGTTGCTGCAGAATCTGCACCCGGTACACGAGTCGACGTCAGAATCACTCCGTTCACTTGAGGAGGTGCTTTCCCCAGCGGCAAAGGTCCTTTTTGGTCTTGGCAGCCTCGCTTTTGTCTTTCCCCTTGCCTGCAAGGCACAAACGAAACCCACAATGTCATGACGAGGCATCATTGTTGGGCAATCATTGTTGGACAATGCATGTGCGCTGCACGTTTGCGATGGTTGTGTTTCTCTTGATGTCATTTTTTTACATGTATCGTACGGTTGTCTGTGTATGTGGTGCGAGTCGTCCTGAACTTAGTCCTTGGTGCAACAACCTCCTTGTGTAGCGCGCAGGTGTCGTAGCTAAATTTCACGGGCCAGGCGTGGCCATGCAAGTACGCACTGTATTGGTTCACTTAAAAGTCAAATCTGATCGGCAGTTTGTCAACCCTTGCAATGCAGTTTGTAATGAAATCTATGTGTGTAGAGTACAAAAAATGAAGCTGATCCTATTGT